ATATATATATATGGGAGAAGTGTTTCTAATGTGACGCCTTAAATAATCATCTAAGGACGCGGCCTAAAATCACATGATTGAGCTACATTGTGGATGATCCGTTCTGTTAAACTCGATCTACATATTCTAAAATCCCAAAAACACACCAAGTTTGGGGTGAACCCGTTGTTGTTTGACCATTCATCCACTCGTATTAATTTTAACGGTTTCGAATGAATAGAACTTTTCACATGGCTCGACGGAGGGTCAAGTGACGACGACTTCACCCCAAAGTAGGTGTGTTAGGGTTTTAGAATATGTAGATCAAGTTCAACGGAGCAGATCATCCACAATGTAGCTCAATCATGTGATTTTAGGCCGCGTCCTTAGATGATTATCTACGGCGTCATCTTAGGAACACTTTTCCCAATATATATACTATATATATAAGAAGAGTATACTATATATATATATATATATATATATATATATATATATATATAGCAGAGAGAGAGAGAGAGAGAAGAAAGAGATTAATGGGTATCCTTGTCATAGGAGGGGATTTCCTCATTGACGAGCTTCTCTAAAATCACATGATTAAGCGACATTATGATGATCCGTTTCGTTGAACTTGATCTACATATTCTAAAACCCCAACACATCAAGTTTGGGGTGAACCCGTCGTCGTTTGACGCCTTCATCCCACTCGTTCAATTTTAACGGTTTTGAATGAATAGAACTTTTCACATGGCTCGATAGAGGGTCAAACGACGACGGATTCACCCCAACTTGGTGTGTTGGGGTTTTAAGAATATGTAGAATCAATGTTCAACAGAGCGGATTCATCCACAATATTACTTCAGAATCATGTGATTTTGAGAGGCGTCAAGGAGGAAATCCCCCTCCTATGACAAAGAGATACCCATTAATGCTCATATATAATATATATAATATATATATATATTATATATATATATAATATATATATATATATATTATATATATAATATATATATATATATATTATATATATGAACATAAGCGACATTGCCAACTCAACACACATCACTTGCCCTACATTAATTATTACAATGATGAAATTTTTTAGTAAAGCGAGGAGATGCACAACTAATAAGAAGTTATGGCTATATTTTTTATAACCCAACCCGAAATTTAACCAAAGACCGTGCGGTCCATATTGGAACCTTCCAACCGTCCAGACGGTGGATATGCATATTTAGTGAAAGATTAATTGGAGAGATGATGAATATAATTAAGAATTATAATTATTAAGAGGGGGAAAATAGGAAATCAAAAGTTTTGACATCCACATTCTCTTTATATAAGTGGTATAAGTAAAGATGGATTGGTCATTGTTTAATTACTTTTTCAACAAATAAATATAGCTAATTCTCTCTTGGTACTATTTTCTATACTTAAGTCATGTAGACATTATATGATCTTCTTTATTTGTTTTTATTTTTTATTTTTTTCTTCTTATTTTTATTATATATATTAGTTATGTATTATTTCAATAAATTTAAAGTTGGCAATGAGATGTGTGGTCTTTTTTTCACAACTCATTTTCTTTTAGGGGCTGTTTGGTTGGCTTAAAACACCCAAAAAAAGATTTTCCTCCTCTTGACACAGTAGTCACATAAAAAAATCTTTCCTCCTGTTTCTTTGTTTTGCGTTTGGTTCGCGATGGGAGCTAGGGCTTGACCTCCACCTCAGCAAGATTTCTTTCCCTCATTTCCTTCTAACTTGAGCGAAAATGGATGTAAATCTGCAAACTTATGTACATATGTTGGATCTGCAATAATTTTAGGGAAAACTCCTCTCTTGGTTATGATTACCTCTATTTCGCGCTATTCCCTCTTCTTCTCACCTTGGTTCATCAGTGATGTGTGATTTTTCCCCCTTCAAGCTTCTGAGATCATTGGGTTTTATGTTCTCTGCTTGATCTTGAAAAATGGCAGCACTTTTCTTAGGCTTTTATTATTCTTGTTGTGCGCAGAGTCACGCCCTCACGCCGTGGAAGCAATATCATCTGAGAGAAAGCCCTGACTTTTGTTGTCACAAAAGCTCAAGTCAACCTCTATATTCCCGTTTCACGAAGGAAACAAGAACAGAAAACGAAATATCTTAACAAAGTGAAATATACACTCTTCTTCTCATCAGTTCTAGGACTGACTTGTCGAGGGAACGTACAAGCAATAACCAACACCCAGAAAATAGTAAAAACATGAGATTTATGTGGTTCGGCAAACTTGCCTACGTCCACGGGGAAGGGAGAGGGGAGATT